GCAAAATGTTTGGTTAAAACGTCAATTTGTTTTTAAATATAATATGAATCTTTCTCTTATTATTTGTGGAGTCTAATTGTAGCACCCATGAGCAGCAGGAAGACCGGCTTCCACGTATTCAGCGCATCCGGAACCTGGCTATGAGGGCTTAAGCGCCCATTGAGTGTTCACAGACCGAGAAGGTGGAAGTCTTGCTCCCAAAGTGGGTGCCTAGGTGCCCATTTCTGGCAGTGGGGCACCTATTTCCAAAGAACTGGGCACCCAGGTGCCCAAAAGCAGTTTTCACGAGAAATGTTACTTATGCCACAATTTCGAGCTGCGTATGTGTGGACTTGGAGTGTAACTCTTCCTGTTTGTTCATCAACAAAATCCCGGTGAATGTGAGAAGTGTTGGTGAGAAAGATTCTATGTTTTTCGGCGTGCATTTTTTGCGTTGAATCAGTAAGAAGAGTGTGGACTGGTACACTGTGAGTTTCTTCGTGTGAGTGTGGAGAAGAAACATGTATGAATCCTTTGTAAAACTCACTGAAACTCATAGTAAAATTTGTGATGGCATGAATCCATGATTTTTTTTCTCTTTCTCGGGACTTTACACCAAAAATTTGTGTTCTTTTCTAGTTGTTTTTTTATTGTGCCTATGAATTAAACTTATTGTTTCGGTTTTCTCGAATCCTATGATCACATTCCACTGTGACATTGAGAATTGTTTGGAGGATTCTCAACAAAAATTTTTATCAAAGCTATGTTTGATTCTAGCGAGAGCAATGGCCGAAGAATTAAGATTCAATGTGAAAAAGTTCAAAGGTACGAACTTCACTTTCTAGAAGATGCACGTGAAGGATTTGTTTTATCAGAAAAAATTGTATTTGTCACTACAAGGAATCACAAAGAAGCTTGAGTCTATGCCTATAAATGAATGAGAAGTGTTGGATCGAACGGCAACACTTTTCTCATCCATTGTGTTTAGCATTGTGAATGAGAAAAACTATGGCGAATCTCATGGCGACACTATTTAAGATGCACGAAAAACCTTCTGCTTCTAATAAGATTTTTGTCCTGAAGAAATTATGCAACATGAAGATGGTGGAAGGCAATTCGGTGGCAGAACATCTCAATAACTTCAACATTGTGACGAGCCAGTTGTGTTCTATGGGATCAATTTTGATGATAAGGTCAGAGCACTAGTGATATTATCTTATTTGTCAAAAAGTTGGGATAGTTTGGTAACGACAGTGAATAATTCCTCAGAAACTTCGAAGTTGAACTCCGATAATATTGTGGGTCTGATGTTAAAAGGAGAAGTTCACAGAAAAGCTGTGAATGATGAATCTTCAGGTTCTGCATTGAATACAGATAACAAAAGAATGAATCTGGGCAGAAATACGGGCAAAGGCGGATCCAAGTCCAACAAAGAAAGTCTAAGTCAAGTCGAAGAGAATGTTGGAACTGCAATAAGAATGGGCATTTCAAGAAGAACTGCAAAGCTCCAAGGAAAGTTAGTAGTAGAGGACAAATTAGTAGTTTCTCTACTGATACCTCCACAGGTGAAATCCAAAATGACTCTGATGTTATCACTAGTCAGCATTGAAGCCTAGATAGTGGATTTAGGTGTCTCTTTTCATGTTGTCCCAATAAAGAGATATTCAAAAACTACACTTACAGTGATCTAGGAAAAATTTATTTATGAGATAACAACTGCAGTATAATAGAAAAGGGTGATGTTGATATCAATTTGTCAAATGGAACAGTATGGAAGCGTACTAATATTAGACATGTTCCAAGTTTGAAGAGAAATCTTATCTCTGTGAGCCAGCGGGTAAAGTTAGGATTCGTGACAACTTTCACAGGTGATTTGTGGAATGTGACCAGGGGGCATTAGTGATGCCTCGGAACAACATTGAAGGTGCCCTTTTATCTGGTCAATGAAATAGCTAATTTCATTGAAGTGATTGGAACCAAGGTGTATGCAAGTCTGTCGCACCGTAGAATTAGCCATATAACCGAGAAAGGTAAGAAGTCTCTACTTTCAAAGAATAAGCTTCAGAGTTTGAAATCAGCTGATCTGGATTTATGTGAAGAAAGTGTTTATGGCAAGCAAAATAATGTTTCTTTCTTCAAGAGCGAGTCAGAGGTGAAGTCAAAGAAACTGAAGTTAGTGCATATTGATATATGGGGTCCTACTCCAGTTTAGTCCATTTGAGATTCTTGTTATTTTGTCACATTCAGTGATGATCGCACGAGATATGTATTGGTTTATTTCTTAAAATAGAAATCCAATGTATTTGAAGTCTTTAAGAAATAGAAGGTTATAGTAGAAAATAAGATATACTTGAAGTTGAAGTTTCTCAGATCAAAAAATGGAGATGAGAACCGTGATCAAAAGATCAGGAATTTTTTGTGCTACAGACGGGGTCAGCCATGAGTTTGTTGTCCAAAGGACACCGCAGCAAAATGGTGTGGTTAAGCACATGAAGAGAACAATCACGAAGCGTAATAAGAGTATGAGATTGCATGCAGGCTTGCCGAAACAGTTTTGGGCTAAAGCAGTTAACACTACAATTTATTTGATTAATTGTAGTTCATTAGTACCTTTAGAGGAAGGCTTACCTGAAGAAGCTTGAAGTGACAAAAAAGTATGTCAATTTCATTTAAGTGTATTTTGGTGTTTTGCACATGTGCATATTGATACAAGTTCTAGAAGCAAGCTTGACTCAAAATCTGTCAATTGGACCTTCATTAGATATGGCGCAGATGAGTTTGAGTACTAGTTATGGGATTATCATAATCAAAAATTCATCAGGAGCATGAGCGTCACTTTTAATGAGATGGAGATGTACAATGACAGGGATAGAACTCAGGACAGTTCATCAGCTACTTCTGAAGAATCCAAATATGTGAAGATAGATGATACTGGTGATCGAGAGAATGGAGAAAGAATAAATGTTCAACCAGAAGGAGCATGTCGACCGTTAATTTTTTTGAAAATATGAAAAGGGATGATTTTTTTAAAATATGAAAATAGTTTTAATATAAATGATTTTTTTAAAGTAACATTTTAATTAAAAATAGATAAGACCAAACGAGTCTCACATATTAAATAGATTAGACGGTTGAATGTGATACCACAAGTAATACACAATCCCGAATGATAGGCATATCACTTAACAGCACGCTCAACCACCTAAACTAAGAAGTTTGTGATATTCGTTTGGTCTACAAAATCTTTTATTTATGGTCGGCAAGTTCCCCAACCTAATATAAAGATTAGATAAAGTTTATTTTACATGGATTCCAAGTTCCCTATAGAGGCAAGCCCCTATAGTTAATTACATCCTAAATGACCGATGTCGCTTAAAAAAACTCTCGATTAAGATCAGTGGTTTTACCTTCCAGATTTCAAAGTTTAGATTTCCAAGATTTGACACGGGAAAATCAAATGGGAGTGGCTCAAATAGGAACAATCATTTTAAGGAATCCAAAAAAATGAAGAGCATGAGATATCACGGATCCAAGGGAAACCCTGGTGATTTCCCAACTATCTTATTGTTTGGTTTTATGTCTTTAAAATGATGTTATCCAATGTTTAATTCTGCAACTTACTTTAGAACTTAGGACTTACATTTACACAATATCTGATCGTGCAAATGGCCTAAAAAGGTAGGAGGATTTACACTGTACCGTACGATAAATCTCGGAATCCTAAAAGTGTTAGGACATATAATTGAACAAAAGGGTTGTGCAAAAGCCTGAAAAATAAGGTGAGAATTTACGTTGCGCTAAGAAAGCTACTCGAAATACTATGGATTGTTATTTAAACTAAGAAAAATGTTTAGTTGACATGAACTTGTTTTGGTGTTTCAGATCCACCTCTAAGTCGTTCTTCTGTGTGTCCTCGTCATGCTGCCCGCGGTGTTCGCTCCAAGCTCTCGGTCATAGCGCCTTCGGATTTAATGTTAATTTTAAGGGTATATGCAATTGTTTAGTCAACGTTCTGCTTTCGGGTACCTCCTATAAAACCAACTATTGGCCTCTTATTCT